GGGAGAGGGTCGGGATAGGTGGGGGACGGGGATAGTCGGGGAGAGGTCGGGGACGGGGATGGTCGGGGAGACAGTAGAGACATCAACCTAAGTATTAGTAAAACACTTAAAATGCAATGCAGTATACCAGTAATGCGCGATCGATTTAGAATTCTAGGCAGCAATGATGGAAGATAAATGTTGTAATTCTAAAATAAATGACTTTTAAAAACACCAAAACTATATTTTTATGATAAAAAGGAGGCGTTGATATGATGGATAGGCGATGAGCTCTAATTTTAATATAATTTGGAAACTGTAAGTATTAATTTTAACTCAAAAAATATATAATATTTAAAAGAACTTGTTGTTGGTCATGTCAACAATCTCTGATTTCTGTAATATTTTAATATACTTGGTTAACTACCGTGGTGTTTTCAATGTTTTTCTCTCAAATCAACGTAAGATGTCAATCATTTGAAATGCTTTTATACTATAAAAATAGCTTGTATATTTTTTCTCAATCGATGTTACCCTTCAATAAGCAGACATAAGTGGATTAACATTAATCAAATAATGTTCCTTTTTAGAAATTAAGAGAAGAAACTAAACACATGCATTTGTAAAATCCCTATCATTATGTATTTAAGTTACTAAAAGGAACTTTAAATGTGTGTTAAAGTTATCCACTATACCTAAAGGAGTATACAAACATTTTCATATCTGATTTAGATTCCTCTTCGCTAGCCACTGGTTTAATTTTGTATTCTCATGGTTTACAAATAATCGAATGTGGCCTAACGTAATGTTTTTTTTTTGTTTTTTGTTTTACTTTTTAGCATAAAGGATAAAATGAGTGAACCGGTCATGATTCCAATGACAGTCCAATCAATAATGATACGTTTGGTTTATAGGATTATCAAACCCGTGAAAATCTGTCATGACTTAAGACAAAATCAAATATTTGAAATCTCGTTTTTTTATCGAACCATATGTAACCGGTTATGATATAATAAGATACACCAACCATATGTAACCGGTTATGATATGATAAGATACCCCAACCAATTGTAACCGGTTATGATATAATAATATACGCCAACCATATGTAACCGGTTATGATATGATAAGATACCCCAACCAATTGTAACCGGTTATGATATGATAAGGTACAACAACCAATTGTAACCGGTTATGATATGGTAAGATACACCAACCAATTGTAACCGGTTATGATATGATAAGATACCCCAACCAATTGTAACCGGTTATGATATGATAAGGTACAACAACCAATTGTAACCGGTTATGATATGGTAAGATACACCAACCAATTGTAACCGGTTATGATATAATAAGATACCCCAACCATATGTAACCGGTTATGATATAATGAGATACACCAACCAATTGTAATCGGTTATGATATAATAAGATACACCAACCCTATGTAACCGGTTATGATATGATAAGATACACCACCCAATTGTAATCGGTAATGATATGATAAGATACACCAACCAATTGTAATCGGAAATGATATGATAAGATACACCAACCAATTGTAATCGGAAATGATATGATAAGATACACCAACCAATTGAAACCGGTTATGATATAATAAGATACACCAACCAATTGTAATCGGTAATGATATGATAAGATACACCAACCAATTGTAAGCGGTTATGATATGATAAGATACACCAACCAATTGTAAGCGGTTATGATATGATAAGATACACCAACCAATTGTAAGCGGTTATGATATGATAAGATACACCAACCAATTGAAACCGGTTATGATATAATAAGATACACCAACCCTATGTAACCGGTTATGATATGATAAGATACACAACCAATTGTAACCAGTTATGATATGATAAGTTACACCAAACAATTGTAACCGGTTATGATATGATAAGGTACAACAACCAATTGTAACCGGTTATGATATGATAAGGTACAACAACCAATTGTAACCGGTTATGATATGATAAGATACCCCAACCAATTGTAACCGGTTATGATATGATAAGATACCCCAACCAATTGTAACCGGTTATGATATGATAAGATACACAACCAATTGTAACCAGTTATGATATGATAAGTTACACCAAACAATTGTAACCGGTTATGATATGATAAGATACACCAGCCAATTGTAATCGGTTATGATATAATAAGATACACCAACCAGTTGTAACCGGTTATGATATAATAAGATACCCCAACCATATGTAACCGGTTATGATATGATAAGATACCCCAACCAATTGTAACCGGTTATGATATGATAAGATACCCCAACCAATTGTAACCGGTTATGATATGGTAAGTTACACCAACCAATTGTAACCGGTTATGTTATAATAAGATACACCAACCAATTGTAACCGGTTATGATATGATAAGGTACAACAACCAATTGTAACCGGTTATGATATGATAAGGTACAACAACCAATTGTAACCGGTTATGATATGGTAAGTTACACCAACCAATTGTAACCGGTTATGATATAATAAGATACCCCAACCATATGTAACCGGTTATGATATAATGAGATACACCAACCAATTGTAATCGGTTATGATATAATAAGAAACCCCAATCATATGTAACCGGTTATGATATAATAAGATCCACCAACCAGTTGTAACCGGTTATGATATAATAAGACACACCAACCATATGTAACCGGTTATGATATAATGAGATACACCAACCAATTGTAATCGGTTATGATATAATAAGAAACACCAATCATATGTAACCGGTTATGATATAATAAGATACCCCAACCATATGTAACCGGTTATGATATGATAAGATACCCCAACCAATTGTAACCGGTTATGATATGATAAGATACACCAACCAATTGTAATCGGAAATGATATGATAAGATACACCAACCAATTGAAACCGGTTATGATATAATAAGATACACCAACCCTATGTAACCGGTTATGATATGATAAGATACCCCAACCAATTGTAACCGGTTATGATATAATAATATACGCCAACCATATGTAACCGGTTATGATATGATAAGATACCCCAACCAATTGTAACCGGTTATGATATGATAAGATACACCAACCAATTGTAACCGGTTATGATATATTGCATCATTGAACTAGTGATATCTGATTATGACTTTTACATGATTTTGCTGAGGATGGAAGTTTATACCTGCAAATCAACCCGCTTGAAAAGCTTTACTATAATCCGTCATCCTTTATTAGATATCCCCTCAATGTCATTTCACAACTACAAGGCCACAAGTTGCCGTAATGTTCATGCTGGAAACATAAATTTATCCTTTTTATAGTCTCTTATAAATGGAATGACTGTATATATGTCTACAATTTACGCAGTTTGCTTTTAGATACACTCACTAATCCAAATTCCGTACAAGGTCGGGAAGTTTTGCAACAAGTCGACACAGCAATACACCAATGTTTTCATAGCTAGACATGTACATACCACCTTGTGACAAAATGTTTAGGGTATTGTACACGGGTAGGTATACTGTATAAATACGAGCGACAAACATTGCTGTTTAATAAATCCTTTACTAATGTAGGTCTACAAATCAATAACATGTATCGATCCAGTACACTTCCACGACTAAATTTAGAACTACATATAGGTAATATTCCAAGGGAGTGAGAAAAGTTGAAGTCAATGATGTAATTTATAATAGTTAGCTTTTACACCGTCTTTACAGCTTTGATTAGATAGTGATGACTGTGTTAATTCAAAAACAATTTAAGACAGAGATGTTGAGGTGAAACCTAAAAGGGCCGGACAATAGTAATACCGAAGTTGGAGAGTAATACACAGATACATACCCTGTCCTAACGACACGCTAACTATCGTGGAATACAACACCAAAATCTCCAACATCATTAACATGACCTGTCTGGTCAGGAGGTCTTGATGAGCTAACTACAACGAATATAACCTAATGCCAATCTACCCGATGTCACGTCTACGATCGCTTTTCGATCGCTTTGTAATCTATCTATATATAGCACACACACAGTCATGAACAGGTATCGGATTGTTAGCAAAACGTCGCTCAAATATACCCACCAATACACAAACCGTCATGGGCTATTGCCAACCGAACAAATATGTAATGATCTAATATAAAAAGTATAGTCAACTTAATAAAAAAAAATAGTTTTGTATGTTGACTCTTTAACATGTACAATAAGAGTTAAGATTTCTGTCAACCAGCTCATGTCAGTGGTTTACTGTTACTATCTACTGTGTTATAGTTCCATAGATAAATCCTCTATACTAACGAACATTCAGACTAACAAAGCTTATTATCTATAATTGATTCCTCGACTAACAAAGCTTATCTATAACTGATTCCTCGACTAACAAAGCTTATCTATAACTGATTCCTCGAATACATTACCTTCTAAAGCTCAACTTTTAATATGTTGGCGTATTTATTTAGCATAACATCGTGTTTTATTGACATATATAATTTTGTAACGTAAATTTACATTACATCGTCATACCTTGTTTTACAATGATCGTAAACAAAATATGATCAGCTGTTTAAAAACTCTTCAGTGCCTCTTAAGTGCCATAGGAATTAGTACAACAGTCTTCTTCGTCAGGAAGTGTCACACTGTTTACTGGTGGGTACTGGCAGTCGTTACATACGTATCCAAGTCAATTCAAGGTGTAATATCAAATTAACAGAATTCGTGTTTTGTTTTTCGCAATGATGAATATCTACAGCAGGAAAACATTCTCAAAGAATTTACCTTGTAGAAAAAGTTGTTTTCACCGAATATGGTATCAAGACAATTACCGAAATGTCTTATTTGCCAAATTCTGAAGTGTATCTACATATTGTTGTAACACTGAGTATTGAAAATTAGTATCAACTCCATATATATTTGTATCAATTAATTATCCATATTAACCATGTTGATAGTAATATACTTTTGACCATGTTGACCATGTTGACCATTTTGACCATGTTGACCATGTTGACCATTTTGACCATGTTGACCATGTTGACCATGTTGACCATGATGACTTTGATGACAGTGTTGACCATGTCGACAGTGTTGACCATGTCGACCATTTTGACCATGTTGACCATGTTGACCATGTTGACCATGATGACTTTGATGACCGTGTTTACCATGTTGACCATTTTGGCCATGTTGACCATGTTAACCATGTTGACCATGTTGACCATGTTAACCATGTTGACCATTTTGACCATGCTGACCGTGTTGACAATGTTGACCGTGTTGACCGTGTTGACCATGTTGACCGTATTGACCATGTTGTACATGTTGATAGTAATATACTTTTGACCATGTTGGTCATGTTGACCATGTTGGTCATGTTGACCATGTTGACCATATTGACCGTGTTGACCATTTTGCCCATTTTGACCATGTTGACCATTTTGACTATGTTGACCATGTTGACCATTTTGACCATGTTGACCATGTTGACCATGTTGATAGTAATATACTTTTGTCCATGTTGAACATGTTGACCATGTTGACCATGTTGACAATGTTGACCATGCTGACCGTGTGACCATGTTGACCGTGTTGACCGTGTTGACCATGTTGACCGTGTTGACCGTGTTGACCGTGTTGACCAGGTTGACCATGTTGATAGTAATATCCTTTTGACCATGTTGACCATGTTGACCGTGTTGACCATGTTGACCGTATTGACCATGTTGTACATGTTGATAGTAATATACTTTTGACCATGTTGACCATGTTGACCGTGTTGACCATGTTGACCGTGTTGACCGTGTTGACCGTGTTGACAGTGTTGACAGTGTTGACCGTGTTGACCGTGTTGACCAGGTTGACCATGTTGATAGTAATATACTTTTGGCCATGTTGACCATGTTGACCATGTTGACCATGTTGATAGTAATATACTTTTGACTATGTTGACCGTGTTGACCATTTTGACCATGTTGACCATGTTGACCATGTTGACAATGTTGACCATCCTGACCGTGTTGACCGTGTTGACCGTGTTGACCGTGTTGACCGTGTCGACCGTGTTGACCATGTTGACCGTGTTGACCATGTTGTACATGTGGATAGTAATATACTTTTGACCATGTTGACTATGTTGACCATGCTGACCGTGTTGACAATGTTGACCGTGTCGACCGTGTTGACCGTGTTGACCATGTTGACCGTGTTGACCATGTTGTACATGTCGATAGTAATATACTTTTGACCATGTTGACCATGTTGACCGTGTTGAACATGTTGTACATGTCGATAGTAATATACTTTTGACCATGTTGACCATGTTGACCGTGTTGACCGTGTTGACAATGTTGACCATGCTGACCGTGTTGACCGTGTTGACCATGTTGACCATGTTGACCGTGTTGACCATGTTGTACATGTCGATAGTAATATACTTTTGACCATGTTGACTATGTTGACCATGCTGACCGTGTTGACAATGTTGACCGTGTTGACCGTGTTGACCGTGTTGACCATGTTGACCGTGTTGACCATGTTGACCAGGTTGACCATGTTGATAGTAATATACTTTTGACCATGTTGACCATGTTGACCATTTTGACCATGTTGACCATGTTGACCATGTTGACCATGTTGACCATGTTGATAGTAATATACTTTTGACTATGTTGACCGTGTTGACCATTTTGACCATGTTGACCATGTTGACCATGATGACCGTGTTGACCATGTTGACAATGTTGACCATGCTGACCGTGTTGACCATGTTGACCGGGTTGACCATGTTGACCGTATTGACCGTGTTGACCATGTTGATAGTAATATACTTTTGACCATGTTGACCATGTTGACCGTGTTGACCGTGTTGACCGTGTTGACCATGTTGATAGTAATATACTTTTGACCATGTTGACCATGTTGACCATTTTGACCATGTTGACCATGTTGACCATTTTGACCATGTTGACCATGTTGACCATGTTGACCATGATGACTTTGATGACAGTGTTGACCATGTCGACAGTGTTGACCATGTCGACCATTTTGACCATGTTGACCATGTTGACCATGATGACTTTGATGACCGTGTTTACCATGTTGACCATTTTGGCCATGTTGACCATGTTAACCATGTTGACCATGTTGACCATGTTAACCATGTTGACCATTTTGACCATGCTGACCGTGTTGACAATGTTGACCGTGTTGACCGTGTTGACCATGTTGACCGTATTGACCATGTTGTACATGTTTATAGTAATATACTTTTGACCATGTTGGTCATGTTGACCATGTTGACCATATTGACCGTGTTGACCATTTTGACCATTTTGACCATGTTGACCATTTTGACCATGTTGACCATGTTGACCATGCTGAACATGTTGACCGTGTTGACCATGTTGAACGTGTTGACCATGTTGACCAGGTTGACCATGTTGATAGTAATATACTTTTGACTATGTTGACCATGTTGACCATTTTGACCATGCTGACCATGTTGACAATGTTGACCGTGTTGACCGTGTTGACCATGTTGACCGTATTGACCATGTTGTACATGTTGATAGTAGTATACTTTTGACCATGTTGGCCATGTTGACCATGTTGACCATATTGACCGTGTTGACCATTTTGACCATTTTGACCATGTTGACCATGTTGACCATGCTGACCATGTTGACCATGTTGTATATGTCGATAGTAATATACTTTTGACCATGTTGACCATGTTGACCGTGTTGACCATGTTGACCGGGTTGACCATGTTGTACATGTCGATAGTAATATACTTTTGACCATGTTGATCATGTTGACCGTGTTGACCGTGTTGACAGTGTTGACCGTGTTGACCGTGTTGACCCGGTTGACCATGTTGATAGTAATATACTTTTAACTATGTTGACCGTGTTGACCATTTTGACCATGTTGACCATGTTGACCATGTTGACAATGTTGACCATGCTGACCGTGTTGACCGTGTTGACAATGTTGAACATGCTGACCGTGTTGACCGTGTTGACCATCTTGACCGTGTTGAACATGTTGTACCTGTCGATAGTAATATACTTTTGACCATGTTGACCATGTTGACCATGCTGACCGTGTTGACAATGTTGACCGTGTTGACCGTGTTGACCGTGTTGACCGTGTTGACCATGTTGACCATGTTGACCATGTTGACCATGTTGATAGTAATATACTTTTGACCATGTTGACCATTTTGACCATGTTGACCATGTTGACCATGATGACCGGGTTGACCATGTTGACCGTGTTGACCATGTTGACCAGGTTGACCATGTTGATAGTAATATACTTTTGACCATGTTGACCATGTTGACCATGTTGACCATGTTGACCATGTTGACCATGTTGACCATGTTGACAGTAATATACTTTTGACTATGTTGACCGTGTTGACCATGTTGACCATGTTGATAGTAATATACTTTTGACTATGTTGACCATGTTGACCATTTTGACCATGTTGACCATGTTGACCATGTTGACCATGTTGACCATGTTGACCATGTTGACCATGTTGACCATGTTGACCATGTTGACCATGTTGACCATGTTGACCATGTTGACCATGTTGACCATGTTGACCATGTTGACCATGTTGACCATGTTGACCATGTTGACCATGTTGACCATGTTGACCATGTTGACCATGTTGACCATGTTGACCATGTTGACCATGTTGACCATGTTGACCATGTTGACCATGTTGACCATGTTGACCATGTTGACAGTAATATACTTTTGACTATGTTGACCGTATTGACCATTTTGACCATGTTGACCATGTTGACCATGATGACCGTGTTGACCATGTTGACAATGTTGACTATGCTGACCGTGTTGACCATGTTGACCGGGTTGACCATGTTGACCGTATTGACCGTGTTGACCATGTTGATAGTAATATACTTTTGACCATGTTGACCATGTTGACCGTGTTGACCGTGTTGACCGTGTTGACCATGTTGACTGTATTGACCATGTTGTACATGTTGATAGTAATATACTTTTGACCATGTTGGTCATGTTGATCATGTTGACCATATTGACCGTGTTGACCATTTTGACCATTTTGACCATGTTGACCATTTTGACCATGTTGACCATGTTGACCATGCTGAACATGTTGACCGTGTTGACCATGTTGAACGTGTTGACCATGTTGACCAGGTTGACCATGTTGATAGTAATATACTTTTGACTATGTTGACCATGTTGACCATTTTGACCATGTTGACCATGTTGACCATGTTGACCATGTTGACCATGTTGACCATGTTGACCATGTTGACCATGTTGACCATGTTGACCATGTTGACCATGTTGACCATGTTGACCATGTTGATAGTAATATACTTTTGACTATGTTGACCGTGTTGACCATTTTGACCATGTTGACCATGTTGACCATGTTGACCATGTTGACCATGTTGACCATGTTGACAGTGTTGACCATCCTGACCGTGTTGACCGTGTTGACCGTGTTGACCGTGTTGACCATGTTGACCGTATTGAGCATGTTGTACATGTTGATAGTAGTGTACTTTTGACCATGTTGGCCATGTTGACCATGTTGACCATATTGACCGTGTTGACCATTTTGACCATTTTGACCATGTTGACCATGTTGACAATGTTGACCATGCTGACCGTGTTGACCGTGTTGACAATGTTGACCATGCTGCCCGTGTTGACCGTGTTGACCATCTTGACCGTGTTGAACATGTTGTACATGTCGATAGTAATATTCTTTTGACCATGTTGACCATGTTGACCATGCTGACCGTGTTGACAATGTTGACCGTGTTGACCGTGCTTACCGTGTTGACCGTGTTGACCGTGTTGACCATGTTGACCATGTTGATAGTAATATACTTTTGACCATGTTGACCATGTTGACAATGTTGACCAGACCATCCGTGTTGACCGTGTTGACCATCTTGACCGTGTTGAACATGTTGTACATGTCGATAGTAATATACTTTTGACCATGTTGACCATGTTCCATGTTGACCATGTTGATAGTAATATACGTACATGTTGATAGTAATATACTTTTGACTATGTTGAACGTGTTGACCATTTTGACCATGTTGACCATGATGACCATGATGACCGTGTTGACCATGTTGACAATGTTGCCTATGCTGACCGTGTTGACCATGTTGACCGGGTTGACCATGTTGTACATGTCGATAGTAATATACTTTTGACCATGTCGACCATGTTGACCATGTTGACCATGCTGACCGTGTTGACAATGTTGACCGTGTTGTACATGTTGACCGTGTTGACCATGTTGACCATGTTGAACATGTTGACCATGATGACTTTGATGACCGTGTTTACCATGTTGACCATTTTGGCCATGTTGACCATGTTAACCATGTTGACCATTTTGACCATGCTGACCGTGTTGACCATGTTGACCGGGTTGACCATGTTGACCTTATTGACCTTGTTGACCATATTGATAGTAATATCCTTTTGACCATGTTGACCATGTTGACCATGTACATGTCGATAGTAATATACTTTTGGCCATGTTGACCATGTTGGCCATGTTGACCATGTTGACCATATTGATAGTAATATACTTTTGACTATGTTGAACGTGTTGACCATTTTGACCATGTTGACCATGTTGACCATGGTGACCATGTTGATAGTAATATACTTTTGACTGTTGACCGTGTTGACCATTTTGACCATGTTGACCATGTTGGCCATGTTGACCATGCTGACCGTGTTGACCATGTTGACCGGGTTGACCATGTTGTACATGTCGATAGTAATATACTTTTGACCATGTTGACCATGTTCCATGTTGACCATGTTGATAGTAATATACTTTTGACCATGTTGACCATGTTGACAATGTTGACCATGCTGACCGTGTGACCATGTTGACCGTGTTGACCGTGTTGACCATGTTGATAGTAATATTCTTTTGACTGTTGACCGTGTTGACCATTTTGACCATGTTGACCATGATGACCATGATGACCGTGTTGACCATGTTGACAATGTTGACTATGCTGACCGTGTTGACCATGTTGACCGTGTTGACCGTGTTGACCATCTTGACCGTGTTGAACATGTTGTACATGTCGATAGTAATATACTTTTGACCATGTCGACCATGTTGACCATGTTGACCATGCTGACCATGTTGACCGTGTTGATCGTGTTGACCATGCTGACCGTGTTGAACATGTTGTACATGTCGATAGTAATATACTTTTGACCATGTCGACCATGTTGACCATGTTGACCATGCTGACCATGTTGACCATGATGACCATGTTGACCATGTTGACCGTGTTGATAGTAATATACTTTTGACCATGTTGACCATGTTCCATGTTGACCATGTTGATAGTAATATACTTTTGACCATGTTGACCATGTTGACCATGCTGACCATGTTGACCATGCTGACCATGTTGACCATGTTGATCGTGTTGACCATGCTGACCGTGTTGACCATTTTGACCATGCTGACCGTGTTGACAATGTTGACCGTGTTGTACATGTTGACCGTGTTGACCATGTTGACCATGTTGACCCTGTTGACCATGTTGACCATGTTGTACATGTCGATAGTAATATACTTTTGGCCATGTTGACCATGTTGGCCATGTTGACCATGCTGACCGTGTTGACAATGTTGACCGTGCTGACCGTGTTGACAATGTTGACCGTGCTGACCGTGTTGACAATGTTGACCGTGTTGACCGTGTTGACCATGTTGACCATGTTGACCATGCTGACCATGTTGACCATGCTGACCATGTTGACCATGCTGACCAGGTTGACCATGTTGATCGTGTTGACCATGCTGACCGTGTTGACCATTTTGACCATGATGACCGTGTTGACAATGTTGACCGTGCTGACCGTGTTGACAATGTTGACCGTGTTGACCGTGTTGACCGTGTTGACCGGGTTGACCGGGTTGACCATGTTGTACATGTCGATAGTAATATACTTTTGACCATGTTGACCATGTTGACCATGTTGCCATGTTGATAGTAATTTAATTTTGACCATGTTGACCATGTTGACCATGTTGACCACGTTGACCATATTGACCGTGTTGACCATGTTGATAGTTATATAATGTTGACCATGTTGACCATGTTGACCATGTTGACCAAGGTTATAGTTATATATTTTTGACCATGTTGACCGCGTTGACCATGTTGACCGTGTTGACCAAGTTGACAGTGTTGACCATGTTGACCGTGTTCACCAAGTTGACAATGTTGACCATGATGTTCATGTTGATAGTTATATACTTTTGACCATGTTTACCATATTGACCATGTTGACCGTGTTGACCAAGTTGACGATGTTGACCATGTTGATAGTTATATAATGTTGACCATGTTGACCATGTTGACCATGTTGATCAAGGTTATAGTTATATATTTTTGACCATGTTGACCGCGTTGACCATGTTGACCGTGTTGACCAAGTTGACAGTGTTTACCATGATGTTCATGTTGATAGTTATATACTTTTGCCCATGTTTACCATATTGACCATGTTGACCGTGTTGACTAAGTTGACGATGTTGACCATGTTGATAGTTATATATTTTTGACCATGTTGACCGTGTTGACCAAGTTGACGATGTTGACCATGTTGATAGTTATATATTTTTGACCATGTTTACCATGTTTACCATGTTTACCATGTTTACAATGTTGACAATGTTGACCATGTTTACCATGTTGACCATGTTGACAATGTTGACCGTCTTGACCATGTATGATTCAATACTATTCACCGTTTTATGTAAGACTAAAAGACAGAAAGCTGTTCAATGCCTAAATAATTATTTGGTGAGCAATGTTAAACTTTTGACTGTCGACTCAGTCATGTCCATATACAAATGTTTGTAACATGAGTTGGAATGTTTGGATGATACCTCTTTGGTTACGTTTCGACTAGAGATATGGTAACGTTTTGAAAGAGATATATGGACGTAGTTTACGGTATTGTTTGTAAGGGGATTTTTGGACAACCATTATGGGATGGCTTATAAATGGATATCTATACGAAACTATTGATAAATGTATCGTTTACAAGGGGGCATCTTCGATGAAGATTATGGCAATGTAAGAGTACTGGATGACACCTATGGTAGTGCTTCGTGCTATCTAAAGGGCAAATAATTGGTTGTGTGGTATATCTTTCCATCAGTAATTAATGCTGTTGTATATTTTATCCTTATGTATAGTTCCTGTAGTTTATGTAGTCTCTCTTTTTATGATGTGGTATTTTCATATTATTTAATGAAACTGTAGCGTACTTGTTTCCTATTTATTGATGAAGTGGTACATTTATCTATGTAAATTGTTCCTGTTGTGTATATAGTCTCTATTTATATTGATACTAAGTTAAATTTTGTCACTGTGTATAGACGATGTGGTTTTGTTTGTGTTCTTTCTCTTTGGTATATAATTGCTCAGAGTGCTTTGGTTAAGTTCGTACTTACGATATAATGTTTCCTCGCGTGTTAACGTTGTGTATATTTGCCACTGTATTTACGGTGCTAAATTTTACTTAATTTTGCAGTGTTTGAAATAGATTGAACTCGTAAGGATTATGTTCTAAAATATAACACATTTTGAAAGAATTTATCGAAAACTAACATCTAAAACTTCTGTATAATGCACTCATTTTGGGTTAAGCAAGCACAATCACACATTTCAGTTATTTGAAATGACTTAAGTTAAGGTACAGTAATGCAATTCAAGGGCGAAGTTAAAATTAAATCATTTGTTATAGTTTCATTAGAATAAACTACAGTTTATCAGTGAGTCGGCCATGCATGGAGAAAGTCCATAGACTCGTCACATGCTTGAACCTTTTCTGTTTGATTGATTTAATTGTCGTTGTTGTTTAAGGAACTAAGTGGTGTGTTGTCCAGTAAACGTTTTCCTGTGGGAAAGTGCTGATATAGGAGAGCAGAAAATGACAATTTGGCCTTGATCTAAATAACTGGTTTTAACAGTTCCTTGGCTGACTTTAATAATATGCCAATGTCAGAAGGGATGTGAGAGAGGTATATCCAAAGAATCAGGATTGCATAGGTTGATAGTCATGCAATGTTCACAAATCCTTTTTTTCCTTTACCTCAGGAACAATCCGCTTGGACTTTTGTCTACGGAGATATAGTACCATCCCTCACGGCTCGGGCTTTGTACTCTTCAAGGCAATACTACAACAGAATACTTCTGGCTAGAAAGGGCTAATCTATATAAAACATATCGTTTCTGTAATTGAATATAATATTTTGTCATGTTATATAGTTAATTTGTTATGAAATATGATTTATTTGCTATAAACAATCATGAATTTTGACATTTTTTTTATTGTGCAATTAGATAATTTGTTATATATCCTGCGATATTCAATATCATATATATTCATATATGTAATTCAATACTACGTGTGCATGATTCATTTTCACTTGTGTGTGTGTAGAATTATATTATTCAATATCATATTTACGTTATTAACAGAGCATATGAGGTACTCAATACTTCTTGTATATAGTTCAGTGTAACATGTGTGTGCTTCAATAGGCTAGTAGCTATGTGTCATTCAATATGATTTAATTAATTAGATATTGGGTCATGCTATATGAAATATTTTCTATATATTGATACACAATAGAATATATATGTTTCATCAATAGGCTGATTTGCCATTCATGATAACATATGGATCATGTTCAGTTTGATAAGTGATACAACAGTAGCTACTTTATATTTGAGTTGTCACCCTTGCTACACAGATTATGCTCCATAGATCGAAAACAACACCGCATGTTTGAAAACGATAACACGCATAACCTTAGGCTTGGTAAACTGATGTTGTTACGTATATCAAACTATTTATAAGAATTTCAAGTAGTGACCTTAAAAAAACCTAATACATCTATATATACTAAATATAAGATAAAATTCAAGTTATTCTGTATTAACTGTTTAATAATAAAGATAATTTAATAACTGAAATAGCAAGCTATTGCAACAAACTAATTTCAGAAATTTACATAAACAATGTTTTATCGATTGCTCTGTTAGTTATGCACGTTTGTGAATGAAGCCATTATACACATTACTCGTTACTAGTATGAGTATAATTAAAACAGCGTTACATTTGTATTATGAGACTGTATATTCAGATCTAGAATAACGGAATATGAATTTTGGAAAAAAATATCATCAGTTTGGACCTTTCTTAACATAACACTTGAATTGCCTACCCTTTACAGGAATATTTATCAAACCAATCTGTAGGGACGCTTTAATTCTCTTCGTAAAATTATCTTCTTAGAATAGATCGTTTTCCAGGAATGGTGAAGAGCGATCAAAATATATGGTTGCTAAACATTGTGGAGCGTAAAATAAAAACAAATGTGACCGAATGCCTGGTTGATAACATCTGAATGGAATGAACTGCTTGCATACATGTGCCCAATGGGACAAACTGTGTCCCTCTCTTGGCTGACTTATTTTTTATATGTGCCTGGATTTAATCGATATATCGACGATATGCAGTCTTTAGATAATGAAAAACAGTTATTGACTACGTCGGTTGTCTATACTTTTCGGAACTTGAAAAGAATCGAAATATCACTATTTCCATGATAGATGTCGATTGCTGACAGACAAACTCGCAGTACAATCGGGAGATTAAGGTCGTTGAATGCTATGGACAAGCATTCATTTAAAAATGAAAACATGTTTTATTACCATCACTAGTTTGCCTTGTAGTTGTGCTGTCACGTGCGGGTCTCACCTATGACGCGATATTACGAAGTTTCTATAAGTATTTCTAGCTAAATTCACATGGCGGATATCGTCAATGAAACAGTAGACACTTGTCTTTCCACAACACTCTACGTTTTTTTGCTGGAATTTCTTTAAAGGGTTTCTTTGGTAATCTGTCCTTTGTGCATTATTTGCTCTTACTTTATCGATCTTGAGGACGAATAACGGTTGTGTTAACACTTCGGTGATTTGTTTTGGAAGATTATAATTATTGTCCGCATGGTCATTGGTCACTTACTTAATAATTGATATGTGTTCCTTATCGGTAATTTTAGTGCTCTGGTAAATGTTTTACGGCACAAGGTTATTGAACTCTCTGGACTGTCAGTCCCCAATGTTGATAGTAGCCTTGTAGGTGGAATTTATTCTGGCACGCCTAAAACAAAAATACTTGCTTAAGAATAAAGATATTAAAATATATCATACATGTAAATTGTTATGTTATAAAGTGTTTTACAGAAACACTATTTTTTTATTATAAATTTAATATTACATTCTACTTTTTTTGGAACACTTTAAACATAGATTTTCATCGTTTATATCTCTATAAAACTTTTATGCCCTAGTTGACGAAAGTCCATATGGTGCTCTGAACAGGTTTACCCTGTTTTGCTTTTCTGCGTTGATTGATTAAATGTTTAATACGTGTTTTCTTGCTTTGTATTTCTATCGCATCATTTGCGGTTGATTATTTACTTGTTGAATTTGGTGAAAAGCTACATCGACATAGTATCTGTTCTTCAATGGGGACTATCTCTGCATCCCTGCAGTTCCAACATTTTATTATACCTTAAAAATCTTGAAGTTCAAAAAATATTTTAATTTAGAATGGAAAAGTTCCTAATGTAATCATCTCTGTTCTGTCTCAAAACCCTAAAATACACCAACTAGATACCGACCAAAGATGTTTTTACCAAGATATTCCCCAGATCAACAGAAGCTGCCTATCATGATACAGTACACCTGTATATCATGATTTTTATCTACAGTATGCCAACGTTGTCACCTTTCTACCAAACAATACAACAAAATTGTTGCAAGGACTTTCACTCTCTGAAATAAAACCTGAGCCTCATAGTTAGCTGCCAGCAATAGAAAATGTAGCAAAGGCAACAGGTTTTTATAATCAGCTTTTATGTTGGCCCCTAACGTAACGAAGTCAATAGCTGTCAATAATTTACAGCATATTCTCATGTTGATCGAATTTACATATTTCTACGTAAATATCTTCGTTCCTGGTAAAATAAATGTACG